GAAAGAGTGTCTACTCTACAAATCACACTCAACTTCACTATCGACTGCATCTTCTAGGATGATGACATAATTCTTGAGTTTGGTGACAGCTTTTGTTCCATCTTTTAGCTCAATACACTCTTCTGTAGGGTGCAAAATGGATCTGAAGGAAACAACACTTGATAAATTATAAGTAATACTTGAACATGCAAGATATGTGGAAAGTATAGATGTGTTTCACTAACTTTAAATGCTAAAGAGCATCTATCAGATTATGCACTCTAGGTATAGATTCACCTAAATGACAAGTATGCAAAAGAAATTATGTTTCTTGCCTTGGTCTCAAATTGTTACACCAGTTTATAATATTTTTCATTAAAAAGCACATATACTTGCAATGAATGAACCAACAATGTAGCATTTAAAACTCCATGATCAAACTTCTTTACCAACTCATTACTGCTATTTTTGTTAACCATTCATTCATAAATTAATTTGTCTTTGTTTGAAGAGTCAAACCATTCAGAGGTTGAAGGAGGAAAAAGATGCCGCTGTCTTACAAACACGGCAACTGCAACAAGAACTGGTAATTAAGCTACATATTTCTTGTGAGCAACAACTAACAACACATTATTTGACAAGTTCTAACACACTATCAACGGATGAATTTCATGGGGGCAGTGTTTCATTAATAAGAAAGTATGGTACAAAATTTATAGTTGATAAAAAAATAATATTACGAGTCATTTTCCTATGGAAAATTCAACAAAAAGGAGAAGGAAAAGAAGAATAGACTCAAATACTAGAAAGAAAAAAGATGAATGTGATTAATGTCCTGTTTACTTGACTATTTTGAAGAGTTATATCATTTCTTTACAACCCTGATTTTCTTGAAATCATTTTTGCAACCATGTAGGATGCTTATTATACTTGTATTTTCATTCTAATGTAAACCTTTATTGATGGAGTTACTTTCTTGATTCTTAATTAGTTACTCATGGAAATAGTAACTTATCTGATTGTGATTTAAGGGGACATTGACTGAAAACAATTGTATATATTAGAGACAATGTTTTTATTGTACTTCGGCCTAAAGCCCATTTATTAGTTAGGTCCATTTAACTGACTGTTGTCAAACAGTTAAACTTCTAGTTTCTGTTACATCTAAAGTCCTAACTGTATATATTGTTAGGTTCTTGCATCACAAAACATCATATAACTCAAAATTGTTTTCTCTCTTTATCTTTCTCACCCCATGACATCCACTGATTTCAACAATATATACAGAGTGCACATTTGGATTAGCGTTTAAGAAAACATTTTTCTATTGATTTATGAGAGAGCTTAAAATGTAAAGCAACTATTTTTCTTGACCAAAAAAGTAGTTTAATCTTAACTCTAAAATATATCATTTCACTAAAAAGTTTGTCATGAGGTGAACAATAAGCGGAGCTGGAAGTTAACACATTTAAACATCTGAACTTGTAGATGCACGTGCTTGCTTTTTTTTTTGTTGATAAATTGTTAGTTGGCATCTATTGCAAAAATATCACTAATCATGATCTATCTGTTATGTTTTCTTAATGTGTAGGACATGCTGAAAAGGCGAAGAAATCGTAAAGGCACTCCAGGCTTTTCCATCACTTTTGCCATGTTTGTGGGTGCCATTGGATTATTGTTTGGTTTGCTTTTAAAACTTTCATTGTCTTCACCAGTACCACCTACAGAATGATTTCATACTGTTCACAACCTTTGCATGCAGACCTTTTCATGCTGTTAACTGTAAAGATTTATTTTCCCATTCAATGAGATTTTTCTTCATATTGCACATTTTCGTTGCTTATTACTATCACTACGGTTTGGATAGCAACAAAGAAGCATCAAACCTACTATTCTATGAAAATAAAACCTTTTTTTTTTTACTTTTTTTTTTTTGGGTGTGAAAAGAACTTCTCCTTTGTTTATTTCTTCTGACTTCTTACGAAATATTTTACATTCGGGAGCTGACCTGGCAAATTGCTATTGGCTAAGTTACGTGGATGTGTGCTGGTTGGCTCAATCATCAATGCCAATCTGTTTGACTATTTTTCTAAGTCTGCATATTGGGCCTTTTTCTCTTTTATTTTTCAAGGAAGTATCATTGAAATTTAACCAACAATACAAAATTAGACTCAAATCTCTTAAATAAGTTTTTATGTTTAAACTTTTAAATAAGAAAAATGTATTTTTTTTTTTAAAAAGAGAAAAAACTATATTAAAGATAATTAGTCATGTTATTATACCAACAATATTGTGTTTATATATATAAATATATATATATATATATATATATATATATATATATATATCTTATATA